AGAGAGCAGGGGAAAACAGAGAGAACACTTGACAGGCAAACATGGGGCAAAATGAACAACCAACAAAGACAGAAACGCACAAGTTAAAAAGTGCCAGAACCTAAAAGAGAACACAGAGTACAGAGGAGACTAAACCAAAATAATGTAAACAAGAACTAGGAGTGAATACTAAAACATGAACTAAGGACCAGGACTAAGAACAAAGATGTAGAACCAAAACCCAGACTCCCAAACAAGACACACAGACAGGATCATGACAGAGTGTGTGTCTGTTTTAACCATGTTTATTGTTGTTTTAGGACAGAATTCTCTGTGCCGTTCTGTGTCTGTCTTCCTGCCTGGTTCGATCTGCTCTGTGCTGCTTGACACGGCTTCTGACAAAAATAGACCTTGTACCTGTTCTCTGCGGGGCGGAGTGGAGAGCCACATCTGGCACTGACTATAATGGCTGCGATTAGCTCTGCAGCTGTAACGCACCGCAGCCGGAGTCAGTAGATTTTAGGTGGTAAAGAGGTGAGTTTTGATAAGTGATTGGAAAGAGTCCATTTCAGTACATTCTCACATGTGTATGGGTAGAGAGTTTCAGAAGGAGGGGGCTGTTTATCGTTTATCCAGCATTATAATAGCAATGCACCAAGGTACAAGCGCACCTGGCTTTTAAAGGGAATGGGAGATGATACTCTGTCATGCCCAAAACACACCCATGACTAATCCACAGACTAAGTACAACCCTTTTGAACCATGCACACTGACCATTTTTTTCAGCATGAAAAGGCGATGCTTTTACCCAAAGCAACTTTCAATTTCTATTTATGTCAGAGGTTGCTCAGGGACACGTCGCAGTGGGAACTGAACCCGCAACTCCCACTCCCATTCGCACCTGTACCTCCATGTGCACGGATGCTTGAACAGATATGTTGTTTTCCATTATGGGTCCTCAATTATAAAACTGTGCCTAGGATTCACTTCAAAAGGTTACCAGTGTTCCGTGCCAGTTTTCCCCTTTATAAATCACAATCAAGTTGAAAGTTGCCGCAGGTGAGCGAGGATCTTGTCTCACCCTTTTAACACCCATAGTTGCCTATAAACGGTCAGTGAAACCTAAACTATTAATTCATACTGACTGCATGAAGGATAAGGATTGCAAAGTTGACACACGTGTGAGATTGGAGTTGTTATTGGGGGAGGTTGAAGCAAAAGAGAACGTGCGCCCCTGGATACTGGAGCTCGACCCCGTGATAAGTGACTTGAAGGTATGGGACTCCTTTCTGAGTAGTGACGGTGGTGGAGGGACACACAGATACGCTGGATGACCCAGGTACATAATTTGGATTCCCTCGTTTGAATAGCGAGTAAACCAAATGCATTTCATTTGTGTTATAACATTTATTTACACGAACACTCAACTAAGGAGGCTGACAGGGAGTTAAAAGAAATACTATATTTAGATTTATTTTACACAGTAATTTCCATTTCAAACCGTTTCATCCTGCTGCCTTATAAGTTGCAATTTGCTTTTTATAAATCCCAAATTTTGCTTAGAAAGTGGCATCTGCTTTCTGTTGTGTGCATGCAACGTTTATAAATGAGGCCCCTGGTTATGGCCTTGGCTCTGTTAAGCCAGTGTATCCAGCTTTTATCACAGTCACCACTATAACACTTTATTTCAACTGTATCACATAACTGCTATCATCTGTGAGTGCCTCTGTGAAAGATGAGAAAAAGACTCATGTTAGACACACATATACCAAACAGCAGGCCCTTAATGCACAAAGCATGTGTGTGGCTCTATAGAGGTGACCTTCCTCTGAGGGAAGGATGACCCTCATTTAGGCCATTTTCTAGCTGACAGTGAAATGTTGAACAAATCGTAGGTTATAACACACGTGCACACAGACGCACACACACACACACCTCTGCAGGGTGTTAGCCTGTAGTTTCTCTCTCTCCTCGCAGCTGCTGGAGATGAACATGTTGACAGCACTTTACACTCTTTGTTAATAGACGCTAATCCTCAGAGGTTGTATCACAACTTACCTCCATTTTGTCACATTGCAGTAGCAGTGCATAATGACATCAGTCGTTTCATCAAGTGCCTCCTCTAGCGGCCACAGTAATTATGACAGGAGCAAAGGAGAAAGTCACAAGACGTTAATGTAAAGTGAAAAAAGTCCCCACAGGGAGGAAGTCGAAAACAAACCCTCAGACTTTAACACGGGACACTGTTTGTTTCCCGTTTCAAAGCCCAAGTCTTTTTAAAAGCATGACAACCATCGTTCCCTAACCACAACCACGTTTATTACTGTATCAGTGAAGCTCATTTTAACCCAAACCCGATCTCTCCCTAAATTTAACCAAGTTGTTTTTCAGCCTAAAACTAAGCTATTGATGTAACCAGTGGTATGTGACGGTTTTGGTAGGCACAGACAAAGTCATCCTGCTGATCGTCAGATAAGAAAACTCTTTTATTAGAAACAGCAACGACTACTCTTAACACTGATGTCCATGTAGACAATGATTACGTTTGGAAAGACAGAAAGCAAGCACATTTATTACAGGTTTAAAACTGGCTATTGCTGTTTGTAGGAACTAAACATTGGAACTCATAGAGTTGAAACACCATACACTCAAAAGTGGTGACCAATTGACACTCAAGCTGGGGATAGAACTCACAAGCTCTTGCAGCCTAAAATGGAGCCTTTAAGTCTGACACAGAATGAAGCTTTTGAGCCGTGATTTTGGTATTTTTAGTTAGAGCTTGAGTTGAGCCAGCTCTCACACTAACCACATGTTTCAAGAGGGAACATTTGTGTTGAATTGAACTGCAATGTTTTGTACAATGGCTTTTAGTAATCAGTGTACATTCTTCCCTCTTCCTCAGAATCTGTAGCAGAAATCTTAAGCGAGACTTGAAAATATGGGAGCAGGATTTGTTCCTTTGCATGTAAACTCACATCCTCATTATATTTAGCAGTGACCTTTGCTCCAGCGTGTTCCGTAATCTGGTGTCATTTAGGATAATTCATGCTCCAAAGCAACATTACAGAATGTAAAGAAGCACTTGGACAAAATAATGTCTTTTTGTAATGTATGGAGTCTCCCGTGAAAATCAGGAGGGTTAGCAAGTATGAGCTAACCAGGGCTAACCAGAGCTAACCTCTGTGGCACCTTGTTTACTTCTGTGTGACAGCGTGCTGCTTGTGACATCGTTGCGGGTCACTTTCAGGCCGTGGACTCTGATATGGGCCGCATTTAAACAATAATGTGAACTGTCAAACAAAAAAAATCGAATCTGGGGGAACAAAATTAGACTTGAGCATTAAGGCCTGCAGTGTGAACACAGCCTAAGAGAATGTTGATGGTTTAGAGGAAGAAATCATTGAAGTTAGTTGGTGAAGATCAATCAGTCTAAATGACTGTTATGTATATAAAGTTTTTACAGCTGTTTCTAAGGTTTGAAGATAGAGCGTTACTGGTTGAGGTTGGGAATTTTGTCTCTAATAATTATAATTTTATCATTAAAGAAGCTCATGAAGTTGTTACTACTGAAGGCTCTAGGAATACATAGTTTAAAGGTGCAGTGTGTAATATTTCTGAGGATTTATGGACAGAAATGCAACATAACTATGTTTTCGGTTGTGTATACTTACACATATACATAATAAACGGTTATGTTTCTATTACCTTAGAATGAACCATTTCTAGCTACATAACCGCGGGTCGCCCTGATATGGAGGGCGCCATGTTACGTCGCCATGTTTCTACAGTAGCCCAAACGGCACTGTGTTGTTGTTCTTCCAGCAGTGTCACTACGTTGAATGTGTATGAAGAAGGTCAAAGAGGAAATACAGTCTCTGAGTAGTCATCTGGTTTATTAGAAGTAAGAAGAGAAGTCAAACTTGGACAAATGGAGGAGCGCACGTGTTTTTTAGCGCGAGCCGATAGCGTGTGAATCTTCATGGTCAAAGAAGCGAAAACACAATGAAGCCAGATGAAGTCGGGACAGATGAGGATCGATTTTTTTGAAATCGTTTTTTCGAATCGATTTTCCCAGGTAGAAGGCTCTGATGCGGGACAAATGTTTTCAAAGCGGCTCTGAAGTTGCCTGTTTTCTAACTGGTCAGGTAATTATGTTAGTCCAACTTTAGCAATGCAAATGAAAGCTGGTCATAATCCCAGAGAGAAGTGTTGATATGTAGTTGGAATAATTGTAATGTAACGTTATGCTCCAGCGCCGTGTTTTGGCTTTGCTACATGGACAGAAAAATGTGCCACCTATGTTCATGAGACAATCAGCTGATGAATGTTATTGGCAATAAAACGCATGGAAACTCAGATCAGCCAGCTGAACTTTTACTGCCCAGGTAGAAAAAATATGTAGTTGGATTGTAATGTCATGTAGTTATTCTCCTGCGCTGTGTTTTGTCTTTGCCACGTGGACAGAAATGTGTTGATGACGTCACCCAGTAATAAGTTAAGTAATATCATTACTTTTTTAAGCAATTAGTAAGTTATTACAATTTCTGAGTAACTTGTCCAACACTGTTTATAATGGACTGTGGCACAGAAACAGTGAGGCTTACATTTTATCTGTCAGTGGTCAGACTTGATGCACTAGATGTGATAGTTGTAGTTATAGTGATAGTGCTGAAAAGAAACCTGGGGTTGTACTTTGTAATGCCAGAGCGAATTACTTGTCATTAATAGAGGGCCTTCCTATATGTTTTAAGACTATCTTGCCAAATTTACCGAGATTCTTTCAGATTGGTGGAACGTCATTTCCTTCTAAATTTTTAATAAATCTCTAACACTGACTGCTGATTGATTATATATATATATAAATCCTACAATATTAACATATATAAAAAGATAATATTATATAATAAGAAATTAGTCCTTAACTCCATCCCCCACACTTTCTTGACTACACCTCTACCTGCGGACGTGTATCAGGATGAGGATCATATTTCAAGAATGTCTCACTGCGGGCACGCCTCCCCTCCACTATTGACCAAAAAGAAGGAAGCAAGAAAACAGAAAAGCTCATACGTCTTTCTGAATCTAAAGGCAATAACTGCACTGACTTGCTTCTCAGATGGAGTCTCAGACCAAAACAGGGAAGGTTTTTCTCCAACCACGCAAAGCTGGCAAAGTAAGTACATAACAGATTTACTTTGAACTTTACTGTTTCCAGTAGGTGTGATAATTTATGAGCCTGAGATATTACATAGGATTCTTTCAGATGATATTACTTTTTAAATGTATGTTATGATTCCACTAAAAATAGAAAAGAAAACTGACTTGACTAAGTGTGAAAGACCGAGAGATGATGTTCTGTAATACTGGCTTATAATACTGTACGGCTCTGTGCTTTATGGATTTAACATGTGAAACAATATTATGTCTCGGTTTCATTCAGATTCCAGTTAGTTTAGGGAATAAAATATGAGCCATAGTTTCTGTAGAAAAAGCTCTCAGCCTTTCTGTGTGTTGCTCAAGGGACACTCCAGAGCAGAAATCCAAATGGACAAGTTGAAACACAACACAGTTTCCATGCCATGCATTCCTGTGTAGCACTGACAGCACACGCTCATGCTGTGCGGTATCACTGCAGCAGTATCACTGGATTGACTCAATCTTAATCTCAACCGCCTCATCTATAAATTAAACTGCTTCCTTTATAAACCTGCTTTAATCTATCAGATTGAAACGTGAGGTACAGTATTTGTGACTTACTTATTAGTTCTTTTAAAGCACAACTCACAAACACATGCATGCACTCCCTCCTTTATTTTGAAGGAATGGTTCAGAAGTGCCTGATGGTGTTTGTCCTTACTCACATTCTCTAGATTGTTTTATATGATTAACACGGAGAGGATGTGACTAATGTTTACTTCTCTGGGTCACATGTGGAAGGGTCACAATCACAGGGAAAAGGTTTAGGTAAGTGCATGTGTGTACGGGTAAAAGGTGGAGCTCATGTAGAGGGCGGAGGAGAAAATTATGTAATCCATCATAAACGTGAACTACTATATGTGATATAGCTATTTTGCTACTTCTACTACTCATTAACCATCTCTTGCTCACTCTTATCAGAGATGGAAGCCGGTGTGGATGTCTCTTTTTCCCTGCAGTAGCAGTGGAGTGGGTCGCCTGGAGATCCAGGAAATTGGAGGTATAGTAATGTTTTATACTGCTTGTATTTTTCCAAGTGTGGTATTAAAGGAAAGTTCCACAATATCAAATGTTTTGTATAATTTTATACCAGTTATGATAACATTATAATCACCAATCAATCATAAATAAGTAAATCACAACCAGCCAAACAACAACAACAATAAACAGCAGACATGAAACAACTGAGGGAGAATGAAAAAGTCAAGTAAAATACTTAAATTGCACAGCACACAAATGAGAGGGAAATTATCACAATTGAATTAAATAACTTATTGACATGCATAAATAATAATGCAACTACCTGTTGACATATGGACAACCATAAATTTGTGTGCAGGTGTGTGTGGGTGTATGTGTGTGTATATCAGCCTGCAACAGCGCTGCACCTGCCCCGACAGCAGGCAGGCAAAAAACGCAGTATCCACCCTGCAACCCTCCCCAGAGCGCAAAGTACTTGAAACCACATGCCCCAGGGACAGCCACACCGCCCCAAGGGGCAACAGCAGAGAGCAGTACCAGGGAGCCCCGGCGGCCAGGAAGCGAGAATGTGGGACAACCAGGGCTGACAGCCCCCAAGCCCAGCCAGAGCCTCCCCTTTCATCAAATGCAGGCAGAGCCAGGGGCCCGGCGAACCCGATGCCGGCCCAGACACCGGACGAGCAGGCCAAAGCCCTCCCCAAAAACAACCTTGTTTTGAGAGAGCCGGGAGACCACCCCCGCCAAAGAGGTCCTCCGCGAGGGGAGGAAACAACCGATCCCAGGCCCAGACACACGCCACCCCACCCAGACATGAGCAGAAGCTAGAGGCCCCAGGTCCCCAGAACCACAGCATGTCCTACACCAGGGGTGCCATGCCCCACCGCCCCGCCCCGCATTACCTGTCCTGGGTTCGCCTTGATGCACTGATAGTTAGTCAGATTTTAATTGAAGTTTGACCTTTTTAATAATAATAAATAAACATATAATAAATAGGGCTGTCAAGTGATAAAAACTTGAAGTTTTGTAATTAATTAATAGAATGACTCCAAATTAATCACCTCTCACATATCGAAATTTGCTGTGATAGGCATTTAAAATATTCAAATTCAAATAGATTTTGGTAGATGAGTGCATCAATGATAATAAACAAACTTATCTAGCAAAACATATTTATTTTCCCATACATTCAGAACCTTTTTTTCACGGTTCATATGCAATAACAATGCCACAACAATTTTTATTAAAAATACTAATAGTGTTTTTATGGTATTGAAGACCTTGAAGAAACTTTAGGATGATACCTGCCTCCTAGGTTTGAAAAAGCAAGTCACCACATCACTGAATTAAAACCAGGTCAAGCCTGAACAGGAACACTTAGGTCACAGTTACTAACTACCAACATGTCACGTGTACAGTCAGTCAGAAGGCTAAAATAGCTACAAATGTCTCTTGTGCCAAAATTTTTTCTTCTAAATTCACATTTTCTCACCATATTTACCGTCTCTGTTGTGCTTCTCACACAAACTGGATGGAAAGTAAACTCCAAAGTCGCAGCATATGTTAATATTGTAGGATTGAGTTTGCTTTCTCACGTGCCACTTATAATGTCTCTGCATTATTAGTTTTTTAGCTATGAACCTTAATTGATAGGTGACAGTCGTGTCTCTTTCATTCTCTGTTCTAACTCCAGCCTGAGTTCTCCCCCGTCACTAATTCTTTAACTTGCTATATCTTTCTACCTGTTTGGAGTTTGGACAGGCTTTAGCTAAAAACACCAAAATGATAGCTGCAAAGCTTTTTTTTTTAAATAAATGCACTTTTCTATCAAGAAATTATCAAATTAGTCTGCTCACTTGCTTAGAGTGCTGGTTTCCCATGCAGCTCTTTTTGGTCAGACCCAGGTTTGAATCCCACCTCCAGCTGCCATGATAATTGCTTTCAACTTCAAACACCCGTGTGGTGTTCAGTTCCCACTGCTACGCAGTAGTTCTTTTGAAATTTGTATGCTGATCGTCTTTCTAAATGCAATCAATGTTTATGGATATCAGTTTTTCCTTAAGATAGTTGATAATCTATATATTTTATTCGTCCACAGTGGACTGGACCTAAAAGAAAATACATTTACAAGCTAAACAGTGGTATGCTGGGAATGTTCGCTCGTTCAGCACCCTCTGTTGGTGCTTTGGAGGCATTTCATGTCCATTAAACCAGAGCAATAGAGAAAGTTGAAATCAGCTCTTAAAGAGGTGGTATTCTGCTTTTTGGCTTTCCCCTCTCCTTTATTGAGTTATTTACCTTTTGTGCTGTAACAGGTTTGCAAAGCGAAAAAACCCAAAGTCCAGCCCAAAGGGAGTTCCCATCTCCCACAGAAAACGGTTTGTAGTCCAGCCGCTTCCCTAAATGCGCTTCATAAAACTCTCGCCAAGCGGCTACTCGGACACGCCCTCAAAAACACCGGTTGAAAAACACTGAGCTGCAGCACCAACCCGTTCTCACTCCAGAGTCATCACATATGGACTCATAGTTGTCAGTTTGTGACGCACTGGGGATCCCTTTTCCGTCATGGTTCGACGTATTGGGGGAAGCCCTGCAGCGTCAGTTTTTGACGGTAAATGATATTTAACAGAAAACACTGAGTAAGGAGGTGGTTGGGGTTCCGGGGTTGAGCCAGGAGACTGGGGTTCGTGCCCCACGTGAAACAAAAAGTCAACATTACATATTTTTATTTAGGCAAGTTACCAAGTGACGTTACTTAACTTACTTAACTGACATACATAGTTATTTAAACCCAAACCATGATCATTTCCTAACCTTAACCAAGTATTTTCTGTGCCTAAACCCAACCAAACTGCAATATTTGAGGACTTTACTAACGGCATTGCAAAATGGCGATGTTTGGAAACGCTTTTATTTGGAAAGTCTAACCGGACGTTACATATTTATTGTTGCTAACTTTACAGAAAGTTGTGTTTATTGTTGCTAAGCATTGCTAACTTGACCACGGATCCCTTAACGTCAATAATTGACACAAAAGGGCTACCCAGATCGTTAAAAAGCGACGACAAAGGTGTTGGCAGCACACAGCTCTCCTCTCCCTTCCAAACACTAGCTACCCTCCAGGCAGTCAGTGGACATAAAGTTGTTCCTGTGATGTAGAGACAGAGCTCAGTTAAAACTTTATGGATACAGATTAATAACTCACCGCTCTGAAACTCTCGCTCCAGTCCGTGTTGCCGAGCCGGTCGGCAACACGTACGGCTGAACCCGAGCTGTTTACCGGCTTCTCGCTGACCCGCCCTACTCTGCTTCTGATTGGCTAGTAGTCCTTAACTAGGAACTGAGCATGTGCAACTCCCAACAAAGATCATTTAGAGGCAAGATGTATCACTCCATAGCTAAAACGAAGCCTAAATCCTAAATAACTTGTGTCCTCTAGGCTACATAGTAACTTAGGTTTAAGTATGTGTGTATATATATATATATATATATATATATATATGATATTTTACAGCAGCAGGCCAACTGATCTGCCACTTTAACATCATTATGTGCAAAACCCAACACAATGGTAGATCTATGGTATTAGCCTAATATCACAGGATTATTGCTGTAGTGCACTAATCACATTTTTCCTGGCTGATTCTAGTTACTGATATTTTTTAAAAGGTCTGACCTGCCGATTCTAATGTTGGCCGATTCCAATATTATTTCTTTCTAAGATCTATAACTGACAGCATACACAAACATTTTTGTAAGTATTTATTGGAAAAATGTATTTTTAATAGGATCCCCATCAGCACCAATAAAATGTTAGCTATGGTCACTGGTCTCATTTGTATGGTCATAATGAAACACTGATTATAAAATAACATTTTCACTGGAAGGAGCTGAAAATAAATTGCACAGCATTTTAATTCTACTTAATTATCCAATTTATTTTTGTGTTTAATCACAAACTACAGTAATCTGCAGGCAGTGGACTCAAAATGTTTCTAAACTTAAAAAGCACTTTCATTGCCCTGTTTGCTTTTGTCTTGTTTTACTATTTACACAATGCTATTTTAAGTATATTTCATTATATTATTTGATGGTTTTTAAGGGGGGGACATGACCCCCTGGACATGACTGGAAAACAGAACTGAAGAACTATTTCTGCAAACACATTTCATTATTTGATGGACTAAATAGTCTCGAAAACCTACAAAACTTTGCACACACGGCAGGCAGGTCAACAACCAACAGAAAGTCAGCCATTTTGGATTTAATTGTCATATTTGGCGATGTAAGGGCAGAAAATTGTTTTCTTCCTACACTTATCATCTTTTATGCAAGTACTTACAAGAGTGCTATTTTTCTCCTTTTATTATGTCTTATATATTGTTTTAAATCTTTAACCTGTTCTATCTTTATTATTGTTCTTGTTATTCCAGTCTGTCTACATGTGTGGGGTTTAGGTCAGGGATGTGGGGTTGTTTTCCTCACTAGCTGTTCTTCTCCTTCTCCATCTTTTGTTCCCCAAAAATTATTTCAAAATAACAATCCTGTGTCTGTTTGTCCATCATGTGTTCTTCAGGCGGTGGTGCTGGAGGTGATCATGGTTCTGGGGTCAGGAGACATCACCAGCTTCGTGAGGAAAAGAAGATGAAAGTTGTCCGACTGTCCGAGCTGATCAGCGTCCTCAGACTCCCCCCAAATGCTGAGGCCTGTCCCATGGTCAGCCTTTCTAGTGCCTTTCATGTTCACATGTATCATTAATGGTTGAAGAAGTACTACAAGCTGCGATCTGTGCTGTTTGCAGGAGAACATGTCAGCATTTTGTGTAGAGACACAGGACAGAACAATGGTGTTTGCTGCACTCAAAGACGACTGTGTGGAGTGGGTAGAAAAACTGTGTCACAGCACGTTTCAGGTGAGAGGTAACAGAATTTACATCAATAATTGTTAGGCCTCTGATTATTGTTGTTCTGGCAAAACGGACCATAAGTAGGCAGCATTCAAATTTTGTAAGTAGTATAAATCAGTTTGCATGCAGCACATTTGATAACTCTGTGCTTCCCTTTCATTTCCTTGCTCTCTGTTTCTCTTTCAGAAAGGTGTTGGCTCAGGCTCTCGTCATCATCATATGGAGGAGAACCAGATTTATGCCTCAACAGATGAAGGTAAATCTTCTGCTCCTATGCAATTTCTGCTCTCCACCTCTCACAAACTCTTTCCCTCATTGAGCTCCACAAATTACTTTTAATTACTGAATTGAAAGTGATTGGCTGCATGCAATACATACCTGATTTGCCTGCAGAGTCTGTAGGTAACTTCTCATTCTAGTTACTTGTCATTCTAACCAGCAAAAGCAAAGGTATCTGCATGCAACAAACCTAAACAGTTTACTGTGGTAGAGACAAGCAGAATCTGTGGAGTTATCCATACTTGCTAAATGTAATGTAATAGTAATGAAAAAAATATCCTCCTTTTTCTTTCCAGTCTCAGAGTTCTGGGTGGTGGTTCAGAGGAACGATGCAGCGACACGTTGCGGCCTGCAGGGGTCGTACTGGCTCCAGGTGGGGCAAGAGGCACTGCTACTGAGAGAAACACAGAAGAACATTGTTAGAGAATGGCCCTATGAACTGCTGAGACGATATGGAAAAGATAAGGTGAGGTGTTTAATATCATAAATAATCCCAATGTCCCCTTTAACTGATCCTACCGTGACCATTAAAATGGAATTATAGGCTATCTAAGGGTAGGAACTGTGATAATCCAGTTTATCCACAGCAAAATGCATGCAGAATATGTTCTCTGCATTTAACCTGGGGGTGGTGATGGGACCGTGGATAAGACACATGAGTTCAATTCCCACTGTGACACATCAGAGAAAGACACTTAACCCTTAAGTGTCTTTAAGTCAAAGCGACTTAACTTAAAAGTGTAAGTCGCTTTGGATATTAAGCATTAGCTTAATGAATAAATGTAAATGTAACCCATCCTAATTAGGAGGAGTGGGCAGCCATTGTGCAGGGCCTGGGGAGCAGTTAGAGTTTCAGGACCTTGCTCAGGGGCACCTTTGACAGTGGTCTGTCCTGTACTCAAACAGGTGACCCTCTGGTTCTGAAGCCAAGCCCCCACATACTGAGATAATGCAGCCCCACTATTACTGTCATATTGTCTCTTATTATGACAGAGATTAGAGCCTGACCGATTTATCGTTTTGCAGATATTATCGACAGATATATCTGCATCGGCCGATATATGACTATTAAAAAAGAGAAACAGAGAGTCGGATCCTTCACTCATGTCATGAGTGTTGCATAGTTTGCCCACCAGAGGGCGCGCTGCAGCACCACAGAACCACACATCAGCTGACAGCGGTCTACCGGAGCTCAGAGCCGGTGTTCTGTCGATTTATGATACCTATCGAGATGTGCTACTGCGCAGGTGTATGACCCACAAGCGTGGTCTGTTTCCACGCCCATAAATCTGTGCAACCTTGCTGTTGGGAATGCCGTCGAGAAAGTGGCTGATAGGTCAATATCTGTCAGTAATATAAAAAAACAACAACATTATTAGACGCTACCCCTGATATCTTAATTAAAGACGGCATAATATAGTATTTCAACATGCTCCCCGTCTCCGTACACATGGAGTAGTGGTGCAATATAAAATGATTTTGTAGTGGGAGCATTATTTGATAGCGGATATTAGATATCAGTATACGCTGCCCCTGAAATGATGTTTTAATATAATCAAAAAACAGAAGATGTCATAATACTGTGAGAGTTTTTTATGGGATTTTTATGCTGTCGATTTGCGCTACGGTAGCATTTTTCAATAAGGCAGCATATATCGTCAGAACACGGAGCTATGTTGAGTAGGTCCTGGTAGCTCTCACACTCAGCGTTCCTGGTGAGTTGGTCTTTTGTCACGTCAATTATATGACTTAAATATTAATAAAAATAGCCCTCATCACTTTTCCTCTTCGGAGACCAGACCTGATAACCCTCCCATTTTTCACTGCCCTCTCCAGGCTCAGCAGTGTGTTTAATGTTACGGTAACCTCGTGTTGGAGGCTACGCTGCTGACAGACGTGCATGTAGATTTATTTATTTAACAGTTTGGCAGATCTAGCGACCGGGCCTCTCATTTTTCTCTCATTTAATTACTTCTAAATATTTTCTAACATCACCAACAGCAGATAACGCTGCCTGTTGCTAAATTAGACACAAAGCTAATGCCCTGTTTATCAGTGGACGATTACACTGTAGTTTCTACAGTTGGCGTGTGAGAAATGATTAAACCAGAGGAGCCTTGTGAATAGTCGTGAGTTGAACCAGTATCTAACACACAGTTGCAGGTCCTCATTGCAGACAGTCATGTAGAATTAGATTAATTCAAGGGCAGCGTTTCCTCTGCGTCACTGTGTCATAGAGCCAGAAGTGTGTTAGGAAATAGTTTCTGCATTAGAAGATAGAATTAACAGCGTGCAGGTGAAACTAGATGCAGAAAGCAGTCATCGTGGCAGATTATATGTAAGGTAATAACTACTGCATGACAAAAAATATACATATCTAATTATTTGCCTGTGTAGGAGAGCCCTGTTTATCATTATTATGATAGCAATGACATGAGAGATGATATATGGTATTAGTATTTTTAGTAGTAGTAGTATTATATTGGTATTTTTTAGTTTCTGTTTGGCTGGTCCCCACAATACATACACTATTTAATTTAACGTTCATTAGTCGTAGTAATTTATAATGAATCAGATATTTTAATATAGTTTTCTGTAATTTTATACATTTGACTATTATTTATCAAAACTTTAATATATTTTGTTGTACTTTTGTTCAAAGTACTATTTCTAACAATAACAAAGTTTATTTTTAAACAGCATTATGTCAGGGTATCTCGGTGAGGTCTCAACATGACAAATGTTAGGGATAATCTGTGTTTATGTTATGTGTTTCTTAAGAGGGGAAAAAGAATGTCGGCTGATAAATCGGCTATCGGATTTTAAAATATTCAAATATCAAAAACGGTGTCAGACTTAAAAATCCCATATTAGCCGGGCCTGGAATCGCCAGATTAGTCTGGAACCTCTTCATTTTCCAAGGGTCGTTATCAGCGGGCACAGACCAAAATGCCTTTGGCCGCAATTTGATAGACCCGGTGCAGCCATCGGCAGCCATCTGATTGTTTATAAAAATGTCTCAATGGCGCTCCTCTGTCATCGTATCTAACTCATGCCATGTTAGATAAATGGCTGTGATTGGCCTGACCGTATCCAGGACAGGTAGAAATCTGTATCTGTCTGATTGGGCCAGACGTATACGCCAGAGCAAATGAAACCCGAGTTTGCAGATTCGAAAGGCTTTTCATTTATAGAACTGCTGCTTACATGAACATGCTTTATATGCCTCTTTGTGTTTTCTTACTAGCTGGCCTTAACCATTGAAGCAGGTAGACGCTGTGACTCAGGTCCTGGAACGTTCATCTTTGAGACACAGCAGGCTGAGAAAATATTCTCCCTGATTCAGAGTACCATCAAACGTAAGACTTCAGCTGTTACCTCAGGAAACCAAAACCAAGAGGGTGAGAAAGTTATTGTAACCAACATACAGGCTCACTCCCCTCTCCCCAAAATACCTGATATGACCAGTATGGCTGCCATTCTGGAGAACAACCCGAAGACACAGGAGAGGAAATCTGCTGCTTTAGAAGAGAGTGCACACGCTCAAGAAGATTTGGTTGGTTCATCAGAGTGTGTATCACAGCAGCCAGCTTCTATCACCCTCATGCCTCTCCCGCTGATCCCCACACACGACAGCCACTCTGAAGGTCAGCTTGGTGACCAATCAGAAGCTGTATATGCTGACCCAGCTGACTGTATCCAATCTGTACCAAAACGGCAACCAAACTCGGCCCTGTATGTAGACCCTGCAAGTGTTCTCCCACTCAAACCCCCCAGTTCAAAAGAATCTCTCACTATCCCTCGTAACTCCTCTGCTCCACTTCTGTTATTTAACATTGATCACCCAGATTCAGTCTACTCGGAGGTGTACGACAAAATATTTCCACTCCAGAATAAACAAACTTTCAGTCAGAGCAAGGGAAACACAAAGTGCTGTGCAGATAATGAACCCATTTACAGTGAGCCCATAAGCAAAAAAGAGGAAGTGTCTCGTAAAAATGAAAGCAAACCAGACCCATTTGCCCACCTTTACGCTCAAGTCTGCAAAACACCATCATCTAGTCTTTCGTCGTCCTCAAAAACCATCCCATCTAGCTCTGCTTCCTCATCCAGCACAACAGAAGCCACGGACCAGTTGCTTGATGATGTCATTTACGAAAACCTGGGCATTATTTAATTCAGTTGTCAAGTGTAGCTTCATACTGAAATACCTAAATCACGTTTGTTAATATTTCACGATCAGCTCTGGGCATTGAATGACAAGTTTCTGACTTTTCAGATATTTATACCCAGTACTTCTAACACCAAAAATAAATTACATTAAAATGTTAAATAACTTAAAACTTAAATTAAAAACAAAGGAATGATTCATTATCGATACATTATCCAATAGTCTACTGCAGGTTGAAATGAACCATTCGATAGTAGCCTAATTCCCAGTTTTGTGTAAAGGCCTGTTCCATTCAGACAGCTATCCTACAGGCAGGGTGAGTTCAGTGATTGAAGCAAATAAAAACCGGTCTATTGACTTAAGTTTAAGAGTATATGTTTGTTTGTTTTCTTAATATTTTGTTCTGCTAAATAACTGCAGAAAAAGTCCAATAGTTATTTTTCATTTATATCAGATTGTTTGTATAAATAGTGAAAGAAAGAAAGAATTTTTGTATTGCACTTTCATACTGTGTTACTCAAAGTCCCATCACCCCTTTCTATCTGAACCACATAAATTGTACCTCCAATACATAGTGAAACCATTGTATATCATCTGTTTTTAATTAATGTGTTTGTTAAACAATTTCATACAACCCAATACATTTTAAGCAGTTTATAATTACAACAATGTAACAATGTTATCAACACTATTTTCACCTCTTCCATACAATATGTCATGTGTTGAATATATATATATATATATATGTAAAGATACACATAAATTGTCTTTATAGTGGATGTTAATATATGTCGATCTTGAATGTAAACTGAACATTTCACTGGTATGTAGATTCAATCTGCTTGATTATTTGATGGGCAGTTTTCTGAGCTCAAGGCATTATGTACTAAATGTCCGCTCTTATATTAGTAGATAAATGAAACAAACAGATTTGTTGCCATTTTAGCTCGCTACATTAAAATGTGCTTCAAGGAGCGTCAAGGAAGAAACATTGGGGAGGTGACTAAACTGACAACTGACTGTTTTGCTGTCATGGTAGGAGTGTTTTCTGAAATACCTTTGTGTCGCATTAGGTCTGCCTTCCCTCTCAATATTTTGCATTACATTGCAATATGTTTTGAATTCCCTCTGATTCACAGAGAAAACTGAGCACATTCGTATTATGTATTATGTAGTAGACTGCTGGTTGTGACTGCTGTTTGTTTAAATTCTGATTAACTCTTCAGCTTTATTGGCAAATCTTAAAGCAACATTATTGAGTAATTTACCACTGTGGTAAATAAGGTGAGCTGTGTACATTCATTTGTTATGATTACATTACTTATGATCCAAAACTAGCAAGTCGACAACATTGCTAACAGCCAAACAAAAACATAACATAATAACACAAAGCTATAATACTTACTAGTCCAACAGAAAGGCAAGCATCTGTCTCGCTGCCTTTTATTTCACCAAGTTCTTGGAGCCCGTTCTCATCTCAGGGCGTCATATAGCGACGATTTGAGAAAGAGTGACAAAGCGTAGGTATTTGACGGGACCTTTAGTGTCTGTGCGTCCCGTACAGACCGGAAGTGCTGCAACGTAGGAAACGGGGGCGTTTCATACGGACGCTGAAGGGTACCTTTAGCGTAAAATCCTTACGCTTTGTCACGCCGTCTGAAAGCGTTGAGATGAGAACGTGTTGGAGTTCTTGCCAACATCCGGGAACCTCTTTCTTGGTCTCTTTTTCTCTTCTCGGCTTCCTCTGTCAACATCCTCTCTGGTCTCTTAGCCTCTGCCATTAGCTAACGTTATGTCCATAGAGGCTGCTGAGCCCAGATATGTTTTCCACTTTCCAGGCTCCAGCTAAACACCACCATCTGTTATTTTATGAAAAAGTTACATAAGCCTGCTTGAAACTTGGGTAGCAAGCTAGCCAACAAAGCTAGCCAGCAACCGACGGAAGAGAACTTCCATTGAGTGTGTCATCCAGTAAGTTCGCTAACATCAAGTGAAGATTTAATACCAGCGGCTAAACCAATGTCTGTGACACCTCTGTCTGATTTTGCTCGAGTCGACAACTTTTCTATCACAGGCAGACATCAAGCAAACGCAACAACAATAGAAACAGCAAGCAGCTAACAAGTTATTACTAACTAAACCAACAGTGAGAAGGCAGCTCAGCATCTGCATCCTTTCAGCTCTTTATGTTCACGCCGATAAGTAAAAGCCAGTCCGATATTTACTCTTGTCTAGTCTCTTGCTTGGTCACTCTCTCTGTTTCTCTGTCTTGCTTCCTCTGACCACGTCTTCTTTGGTCTCTTCACAGCCTCTGCCGTGAGATCCATACTGAGAATACCGAGCTGGCTTCTTTTAAAGAATGTACATTATATACTTTTGCTTCTTATAGCTTGCTTGCTGAAGAGTCGTGTTGGTGCTATAAAGCTTTATGCCATTGTCGTGAAAGGTTTTGTTCACGGGATTCCACGGGATGTTCACGGCCGGATCATTCACCCCACGCCAATTCAAAAAAAGCAGTGCAGAATGTTCGTGTATGTGTATATAAATAACTGTATTTTTGTTTTATTATTATTTTATATGTTAATATACACTAACTTATATGTTAAGTTCTGTGTGTAGTATGAAGGTACTACAAACTTTGTTTTGTTATACAACCTTGAGCTGTATAATGACAAATAAACGACTTTGTACCTTGAGTTGTATCTTTACACATATTAGTCACTCTGTAAATACACGATCTACACAGACCTTTCCAACTACATATTTACATATTCATTTTAGCCTGTGAAAAACTCTTTTTTTCCATTATAGAGGAGGAACTCTAAGACTTCTTTCTAGAGTCTCCCACTCAATCCAGTTGAAACTGTGGTGTTTTAATGTGTTCTCCTCTGAATCCTGTGCTGTTTGGTTTTAATTTGACAGAGCAACCAAATATTCTACAGTGAAAACACTAGAACATAAAAGTTCCTGACTGAAATGTTTGAGGATTCGGGACTTTTCAATAGATTTCCATCCAAATGTGGCCTCAGAACAGTATTTCACTCACCAGAAAAACGACAATATAGGTCGTTTGTGCAGCTCGTTACGACCCACATTTACTTTTATTGTAGCTGCAACCTCTAGTGGCCGTAGACATGAAGTCCACGTAAGGAGGTATGATGGGGCGGTCGGATGGGTCGGAACTTCGGGCTTTCACTCAGGAGAACCTATGTTGGTGTTTAGCTTGGAGGACTTGTTGGTATTAAATGCTGATGAGTTATAAGACGGAGCTACAATACAGCTTTGTAACTGTGATTATGTGTCTTAAACGTATCAATACACATAAATACCAGATGCTATGGAAAACCTAGAGAGATATGTTAAAATCTCCTACCAGTGCTGATTATGTCGCTTTTATTTTAGATTGTCAGCCACCAAAACTGATACTGTTCTGAGCTTTAACATTGTGGTAGACATCTTAAAAAAAATTGTCTCTTCCAAGACTTACATTTTTACCAGGGCACTTTGATAGCACATAACCAAGCGAGAAGCTTCTGGTCAGCGATCTGAAGTCCCTGAAACTTGAATACTATTAAACGGCCAGCAGGGGGGCGACTCTTAACCTAACCACGGCAGTGTGTAAATTTAACCAGCGCCGTTGAAAAAGCTTATTAGGAGTTGGCTGTTCATTTTCTCTGGTGAGTACATTTAGTTTTAAGCCTTCTGTTCGCTACACAAACTTATCAGCCCTGTTAAAATGACAGTTAAGGTGAATCACAGCACCTAGCTAAGCAAGCTAGCTATCGACCAAACTCGAGGCTTCACAACTGTAGTCCACAAACCAACAGGTGATGTCACCTTCTTATATACAGTATATGCAATTAACCAATAGCATTAACCAACAAATACAATTCTGTACATTTTATTTATATATGCAAGCAAGTTTATGTCTTTACAAATAAAAAAGCCACCGTCTGCCAGGCTGTTGGAAAAACACATGATGATCAGTTTAAGGTCACAGACTGTAATCAGCTTTTAGACCTGTGGTTCAGTTTGGATGGACAAGAGCTGAATTTATTCAGGCACAGAGGATCAAATTTTTTTATCCATACTGAGCTGAGAATTTATAGTTATATATAATTAGATCAAAACTTTCTCACAGGGGATTGAAAATCAGATATAATGTTAGCTATCATAGAATTACTATAATTTTGGCCAAATTCATGGTTTATTATACTGACATGGTCACTTTTCTTAATACAGTCACAAATGTGTGTGGTCGGGGTTATGGAATGGTGTGTTCATGTTCCGCCATGGTCAGTGAACGGAAGACAAGAAGGACACGGGATTAGTACGCGTCAATACACATGTTTACAAGGAGACTTGGGTTAGAAAGTAAATGAGGAGACTTAAACGAACGAAGAGCAGACAGATCACATCCTCTTCCTGTTGTCAGCAGCAGCTGGATCTTCCCACGGCTGTTGAAACCATATAGATCAGATTGTAGGTGCTTTGGCTTAATTTAGGCTATATTTACACCGTCTGGTAAAGATTGTATTGTAAAGAAATGTAGCCTAAATTTATTTATTTTTTGTTCAAATGAAAAACTAATCTAGTAGATGTCTATGAAGATTCTCAGTCATCCAGGTCATAGTTATCCAACGAAGGTTAAAATTCAGTTCTGAAGAAGTCCTTTGGATGAGGGACGAAACGTCTTCCAGTATCTTCAACCAAGTCCAGTTGCCCTTGATTTTAACCTTCGTTGGATAATCTAGTAGAATTTGTCTGTTTGGAGCCATATCCATATTTAGAGATCACATCATCTGCCAGTGTTCAGTCACTGCGGCCCGCAATCATTCTTCTTCACCTTCAAGTGTGATTGTGCAGCTCTAAATTATGATTTTGCTTTGTTAGTGTCCACTGAAGATGGTGATTTGTCTATGTGAGCTGGGCAGATTGTTTTTGTTGCTAGGCTACATGGAGCTTTATTTATACAGTATTATGCAGTATGCAATATCAGTGACTGTTGTGAACACATGCCAGTTTTTTCAAGCATACATCAGAAATCAGAAATAAATCACTTCTAAATAAGGTTAAAAAAAATGATTTGGACATCCAGAGCTGTGGTGCATAAATGGCCAGCATGAGTGGGTGCAGGAAAATGGGTGGCCAGAGCAATACATTACACCACATCTGCAAATCTGCTTTATTAGGATCAACAATAGAGAACACCATGATCATATCACTTAAGACTTGCAATCATAGATTCATGCACTTGTATGCCAGAAATGTACAGGTATGGACTTCTCGTTTACGTCTTGATTTCGTCAAACGGCTACAATATATTGCTCTGGTGGTAAACAACTGAGCAAGCAAGCTAGCTTAGCAACATCTTTAGCAACAGGAATCCCAATACAGCATGCTGAAAAGTGGAGGAAAAACAGCGCCAGTGGAAAGAAATGATTTTTTTGTATTGTTTTAATCATTAAAATTATGACCATTGAATGCATTACCATGCCACAAACAACAACTAGATTCACTGTCTTTTTTTTTTTTTTTTTACCTAGAATAAGATTATCTTCATTATAATGAATTCATTTGTTTTCATCATTGTTATTTCTTCAGGATATAACCAATGCTGCAAGACTATACACAGGTCCCACAATGGGGATCTTAATGCACTTACACACCAAGAATAAGAGAGAGAGCGAGAGAGAGAGAGAGAGAGAGAGAGAGAGAGAGAGAGAGCTCACAATGGTCAATAAGTGCACAAAACTATTTTTTTTTCTTTTATCAGAGGTTAAAAACACTGACAAGACATCCATTGTCAGGCAATTAAATGATAGAATACTGTTACTGTAAAATTAGACCCTTAAAAATATTGACTGTATGCAGCCGAGACACACCTGAAAAGGACACGAGTCTGGCGGAGTCTCCCTTTATCGACACTGGTGGTACATAATCTTTGTCAAATTCAGTTGCAATTACACAACACAAAAAAAAGATTTTGAGAGATTTGGTCACATAGTATTTTTACAATTTGACACTGCTCTGATTTGCTCATGGTCTTTAATACAAAACCCCCCAACACATTCTATACTAGGCTGAGGTGCCATATCATCACCATTTCTACCTGTTAACAGACTATACAGGTGGCTTTGTATTTTTACCTGTTTTACTGCAATTAACATTTTTTGTACATTTCATGATTGCCAAACTTTTTTCTAAAATTAGTTTTAGATATTTTTAAATGTTTTTACTATCTTTAATTCAGCCAATATATCCATTATCATGTGAAAATCATCTCAAGCACGATCACAAGGATTGTGTTTGTGAAATCACTTGTGGAAGTGATTCGTGGTGTTTTGCAAAAACCCATCTTTTGTGTATGTAAATGCAGCTCTCTTAGGGAGTAAAAACTCAGGACATTGGGACTGAACCACCTCCTCCAGACTCTGTAACCAATAGGAAATCATTCTCCCTGCTGCTCACCTCAACTGTTTCACATATATGTATATCTTTATACAGAGCTATGTACTGTAGGTACAGTGCTTAATATTGCCCACAAAAAAAGGGAACAAAACATGTTTCTTTTTTTCTAATTAAATGATTTCACATTCAAAAAGTTTCAAAGATTAAAAGTTGATAATGAAATGTTATCGGTGAAAGGTAAAAGAGCAAAGAACTAAGACTCAGAGTGATGGTGGTGGTGGAGTGTGTGTCTGTATTTGTGTATGTGTGTTTGTGTGCTGGTAATCTCATCAAATCAAATCCTGCAATGACCAATGTCATCATCATCATCATCATCATCATCACCTTCATCTTCATCATCAGTACCATAAAAATTCTGAAGACAAACTGAATTCCCTCTCCGTCATCTCTACTGGCAGATAGAGAATTATCACTTTCCTTCACAGCTTATTTCAATGGTTGGCTACAGCCCTGCACATCAGTGACAGACAATTAGAATCTTTTCATTTTCAAAACTCCCTCTTTTAAATCTGCTGTATACATTTCATAAGAACAAAATAAGTTAAAGTTTAAAGTTATTCCCATTCATAGGTCTGATTTTTGGCATTTTAATGAAAATAAGTTTAATCGGCGTCTTAAAAAAGTAGCAGCAAGGGTTCAAATCAAAATCTCAATAAGAATGATTTTAGTTTGTCTTTTATGAAACCCCTAATTTTAAAATCCAATCCTAGCAGCTTATTTAAAGTTGCATCCCAGCAAGTGTAGTTCAGCTGATCCAAAATACGGTAAACAGCTTCCCATATAGAAGCACCTGAGGAGATTATTAGGACTCCAGATATAAACTGGGAACAGCCTTTAAAACCACCAGTAAAGCAAAGCATTACTAAACAATGAGCCCATTAGCTAGGACACCATTCATCTGGGTCTTCATTCCCACTAACAATACTTCAGTTGAATCAAATCCATGCAGCTACTAATGGGGAGTTTTATCTCCTTTTTCCTTGTTCACTTTCCTGTAACACTTCCAGTACTTTTTAAAATTTTATAATTCAGTGTTGCCATCTCAAGTTACACCACTCCATCCCACCGCGCCCATCTATTTCAAACACCTCGCAAACTTAACCAAACTCTCCGTCAGAGGTACAAATTTCTAAACCTTAAAATGCTTTTGGGAAATGCATCCTCCGTCTAGAAATACACCCTGCTGGGACCAAAAGTAAATAGCTCTGTCTTTACAACCTTCAATGTAGCTACTCCTGCACAACCAAGACACCACCCAGAATTCACAGTAAGTATCTGTTTATGTCACCGGTGACAAGTTGACTATTAGTATTGGTGATTTTTTTAAAAACTCAACTTACAAATAAACAGTAATTTTGGTCACATTAGGATATAAAAATGAAAATATGGCAATGAGAGAATTAAAACTCTCAAGATGATCGGTGTATACATGTTTATGTGTGTCTGTTTGTGTTTGTGTGTGTGCAGAACCACTGAAGTACAGAATCATTACATGAAAATGTGATATAACGCCCCTCACACACACACACACATGCACACACCTGCCCCATTAAAATACCCTCAATGCTAAAATTACACATAAATAATACTGATAAAATGTGGCAAAATTGAGATGTGTGAAAAAACACTAGTTTTCAGACTGATGAGAACATGACACACGTTAAAAAGACATTGTGCTGCTAAGATGTGCTATTTCTGAGGACAAATCACAAGTTTATACAAACAGGGGATGGAGGGGTTAGGACACAAAGCCCGTTTCACTAGTTGCTTTAAATGGCCTCTTTAAAATCCCCAACGCCATCTTAAGTGCTTTTACTTTGAAGTTCAAGTGAGCCTGACATGTGATATACAGTACAAATAAAGCAACATTAGGGGAATTTCGAAAATAAGATAATTTGTGACATCAATTCATCTTGATATTTTGCCAATCAATATGTGGTTTTCATTATTATTATGGGCTATTAAGCCTGCATTTTATTTCAAAAAACCCAATCCCCTGCCCTGCAAATGGCCACATACCGTATGTCTAACAAGAATACTGTATCTGGAACAACTAATGAAACTGGGCTCAAGATGAAGAAGTCACAGAGTAGAGAGAGAGGAGGTGTTTTAGGAAAAAGGAGGGGAAAGTTAGCAAAGCTACTTATTTGTACCCAGGAGGTACGAATTTCCTTAGGGACCATATTTCTCTGCAATACCAGTCATCATAATGTGGCGAAACGACACAACACAGCATGACACCACCAAACAACACTGCCTGCACAACACCAACCATTCAGCCACATCTATGTTTGTGTGTGTGTGTGAGAGTTTTCTGTGTGGATCAATCATGTGTGATGTGTGTCCTGCAGGTATCGAGGCTGTTGGGGGGGGGGGGATACAGTGACACTGTCCTGTTGGACGGCTCCCACATTCAATGATGAGCTCATAGACACCAAAGTCAGTCATGTGTCTGCTGTAGATGTTGGCTTTAGTGAGCTGTCCGAACACAGCTCATAGCCGGGAGACTCGCGTTTTCGTTCCACAGGGAGTTACAATTCTATTTCTCCCAGTTTATGACAAATGTTTACAACTTTTTCTCCTTTTCATTTCCACAACCTGTTTCTGTCACTGTGCAGAGAGAAGAAACCCTCCAACACTCTCGCTATATAATACAGCTATTCCAAATGTTATTTCCTAGTATTAAAGTGTTTGTCCATTGTTACTTTCTTAGGCCAAATGAAGTTGATTGTTCTGCATATGCTCACACTGCAAAGCTACTTTGGGGCATTGGGTTTGAAAGGGATACTGTGCTTAGGGCTCCAATAAGGCTGAGGCCAGCCCTGCTAAATGTATTAATTAATCTACAGAGTAAAATATCACAAACGCATTAAAGTTGATGTAGCCAGACTTTTAAAAAGAGCAGCATGTATTTAGCTTATTTTGTATTTGGCAGTAGTCTCTGCTTTCACTTTTAGGGTAAAGCTTAAGGCTTCCTTACACTCAAAAGTCAAAGTCATGGTTAATAAAAGTATGCATGGAGCAAACTCACATGTCAGCATAGGCCTCCTGAGCCAGTGATCTACTGTGGACACGAGGATTAATATGGTGTCTGTGTTTTCATCATTCATTTTAACTCATTTCTGCAGTGTAATTGACCCTTCGTTAAGCCACCCCCTGAATACGCAGCTGGCCAATCACAGCGCAGTATAAGTCTCTCTCTAACTGAGGTCCGACACCTTCATGGCTGCTCTCCACTGACTCGTATGCAAAAGAAGTCATTTTCTCGCTTTTTTTGCTGTATTTTTCCAAGATATGGTCAAACGCTTTTCCTGGGGCATCTTGTAATAGTTCCCTTTCCAAAACCTGAAACAAATCCAGAAAAACGTTGGCTGTAGATTGTTCCTAATGTGATGTAGCTAACTAACTTACTACTGAATGTAACTTTATATAGCCCTACTAGATGCAGTGCTTCACTTTTACTTTTAGCCTCTGTCATTATTTTTTTCACGTCAGTTTGACAGCCTGAACACAAACCTCAAATGGACAATGCAAACCTTTCTGTCAATATTTCTCCAGGGAGTGCAGTAATAGACAGTGGTGGCGCTTTAACAAAAGTCTGTCAGTTTGTCGGACTTAGCAACAGTAACTAAGGGGGGCGTGGCTTAGCGAAGGGTTAACTGTGTCTTTGAATGTATGTTTGTGTTGTATGTTTTTTCACTCATTTAGTTACTCGTGTTTCTGCTATCTTTAGGCTTGTGTGAGACCCTGCGGGTGTGTGTGTGTGTGTGTGTGCATGTATCATCTTGTGTGTGTCTGACAGGTAAATGTGTGTGTGTGTCGTTTCTAGTAGGTATGTGTTTATGTGTAGGCATTGAGGCGTTCTTTGGAGCGTGTTGAATGGATGTCATGCAGCTCCTGCTCCTCCTTCGACTTGATGTCCTCATACTTCTGCATCCGGCTGGCGTCCTTCAGATAGCCCCAGTTAGCAGCTAGAGCCATCAGAAAATGGACCTGAAGGAGAGGAAAAGTCAGGGTTAAAGATAAACATATGTACCGTGCTAAGTACTGTAAAATACAATGTAGCAGACACAGCTGACTCCCAAATAAGACTTTCATACTACATACTAATTCTATACATTGAAATCTCAACGTCCCTTGGTTGGTTCCAGCTTGTGGCATGTCAGGCAACTGTTGTCGGTTACAAAGCTTGAAAAACCTATATGCTAACTGGTTAGCACCAAAGAGCAAACGGACGCAGCAAGGTGAAGCATTTAGCAGCTAAAAAGCCAGGTATTTTCTTCAGGGGTTGGTGGAGACCAAAAGAGAGCTAAAAGGAGAGTGATTATTGGACTTACATTCATCAGGTGAACAAAAACATGACTCCAAATAAATGTTACTACTATCTGCCAGACGTGTAAATAGGCAGTTGTTTGCTCACAGGTTTGCCATTAAAAGGTAATATGTCAGATGTTTACGGCTTGCTTCTGCTACCCCAAACTTGAATTAATAAAAGGTATTTTTGAATTGAATTACCTCAACAGTTTATGTAATTAGACCATGCTTCATCAAAACTTTGTTACTTTTAGTTTGCTTTTTCTTGCCAGGTACATTTTTAGTATTGTAGTACATTAGTAATTGAAGCAACCTGTAGTATTCTGACTACTTTCCCTTTCACAAATCCATCATGAAGACCCTTTTGCACGCTCAAAACTACCCAAATAAGAGTATAAGTATGATTACAATACAATTTATAATATTACAATTTACTCAAAAAAGTTCCTTGAATACATGTAACGGAGTAAATGTAACTTGTTACCATCCACCTTTTGGAAAACAGCCACCATCATCCCTGTCTCCAAGAAACCCCGCCCCTCTGAACTGAATCATTACAGATCAGCAGCACTCACCTCCATAATCGCTAAATGTCTTGAGAAACTGGTACTGAACACCATCCTCCCGGCTGTCTGCCCACAGCTGGACCCCTACCAGTTTGCCTACAAGGCCAAAAGAGGAACAGAGGACGCTCTAGCATGCCTCCTTCACACTCTACTTCAACATCTGGACTCCCCCGGCCATTATGCCAGGATTCTCTTTGTAGACTTTAGCTCTGCCACCTCTCCTCATTCACTGAATCCATAATTTCCTCAGTGACAGACCACAGGCAGCGAGGGTGGGAAGCACCACATCCACCACCATTACTGTCAACACCGGAGCCCCCCAAGGCTGCGTCTTCAGCCTCCTTTTCTACACTCTATACACCAAGGACTGCCTTAGCCCTTCTCCCATTACAAAATACTTCAAACACTCTGGTGACACAGCCGTACTCACCTTCCTCACTAACACAGATAAATATAGCATGCTGTCAATATTTTAGAGAACCCCCAAAATATCAAAAATCATGGGGAGCTGATGTCTTATTAAGGGGAGCTAAGCCCCCCCCCTGGGTCCCACATAGTTCACACCCTGACTGAACCCATCCTCTTGTACTGTGCTACCTGCTACTTCACCATGCTCACTCTCACCAATAAGAATAAGCTTCTTAAAATCACCAACACTTCCTCCAAAATAATAGGTCTTCCCACTCCCAACCTGCCAGCCCTTTTAATACTGCCACTCCTCGTAGAGCAACTACCATAGTACAAAATCCCAGCCACCCTCTCAGCTCATGCTTCACCCTGATGGTGCTCTTTGTACAGACTGTGAAAACAAATTTCCTCCACTGAGGACAATAAAGAATGAATCTGAATCTGAATCTGTCGTGCTGGGATGAGACGGTTTTGGTGCAGCGGGATCCGGTTGTGAAGTCAGTAGGCTACACCGTGCTGACTTCTTTTGTAATCGCACTTGATGGATACACACAGGGAATATTCTCCTGTTGAAAATATGGTTGGTTATCTAAGCAGGAGATGATGCAAGTGTATGTTCACTTCTTTAACTTTACCTGAGGAAGAACGTCTGGAATAATTCTAGTCAAATCCACATCAAAGAAAAGACCCATTGTTTTTTTTCATAAGTCACTAGTTACTCACTACTCAAGTAATCTTTATAGTAAACACTTGTACTCTTACTCAAGTAGTTATTTGATGACCCCTTCTACTTTTACTTGAGTACAGAGTTATATTCATGCATAACAGCCTTATGCATGAACTTTGAACTTTGGGGTTCTTTAGCATATTATCATGTTTAATATAATCTATATTGCTGTAAGCTTTGACATATCATTAGCAGAACCAGCTGTCACAAAGCGGAAATACATCTGATCACTTTCAACAGACAGTATGTTAAAAGGCTTCACAGCTTGTTTCTCTGAAAGAAGCTGTGGGGAAGGTGGAGAATATTTTTTGGGTAGACTCCAAAGATGGGTTGGAGGTCATACCAATCTGTACCAATAAGTACATCAGGCCCATAGTCAGTCAGATATGAGGATAATGATCCTCACCATAGCGATTACAGCAGCTCCTGCTCCTGCCAGTGCGCACACAAACAGATGGAAGGTCAAGTCCAGCTGTAACACACAACACAAGTGTTATCTTATTTTTCTTTTTCTTCTTTGTCTTGAAAGGGGTCACATATCTCTCCTCTGTCACATTTCTTCAGACTCCTCCCCAGGTTGCTTCTTACCTCATTGGATTCACACATCTTGAAGAACTTCTCAGATCCTGTGCACACCCTCCTCTCCTCAGAGATGGTCACAGCTCCTGATAAAAAGAAATATTAAAAACATAAACTTCATTATTTTACTACTTCTTTAAGCTTATACAACAGTGTGTAACTAGAATGAATCAGCCATTTAATTGGATGATCTAACGTGGTGCCAGAAGTCACAGATACTAAATTAAACCATAAACCATTCTGTTCTGAAATGCAGAGGTGTGTAAATGTAATGTTGTTGTCCTAGAAGTCTTAACTGGACAATTGATGGTTATTATTTCTTCAGTGACACAAATTTCTAGAATTCAAGGAGCAGGCTGCATTCAGAGGCTGATCAACAGTTTATGTGGATTCCACTTAAAAAATAATAAAGGGAGAAAAAATAGATTTTTCATTCAAAATGTATAACTTAAAGTTGTAGTCTGAATAATGTCGTCCAACACATATCACTATGGACCACAGTTCCTCTCAGGCCACAGCAGCAGTGGATAGGCTCAAAAGCAGGTCAGAGTTAACCAAGCTTGAACTCAGAAAGCTGAGGGAGATAGCTGCTTTTCTCTGTCCTCTCTATGCATTTGAAGTGAAGTGAGTGAAATACAAAAGTGTAACCTGGCTGCACTATAAAAGTAAGTCTTTATGTCTTGTGGCATGTAAGCATTTCCAATTCTATGTTTCTCTTTTCAGAGAAATTCTTTCTGTCTTTCTTAGAACTGGATTTGGGGATTCACCCAATGTACTGTAGGTATATTGGGTGAATCCAATATAATTTAAGGACATTGCAGAAGAGAATGCAGAAACGTTAAGCTCACTATTTCAGTATTAAAAATAGATATGACCATTCTGTGTTTTTATGTTGCATGGTGCATACCAAACTGACGCAGGTCCAGGCAGAGGTTTGTTCCCTCCACCAAGCTGGTGTTCTGACACATGGACCAAACGTTGAAGTACATGAAGACCGGAAGGCTGGTAAATGCTGTCACTCCGAGCCAAACCAAGAAGAACAGGTAGGCCAGGAACATCAGCTGCAAACACAGAGACAAGACATGATGAGTGACAGAGACAGAGATGAGTTATTTAACCACCTTAAAGATATTAACTAGAGTTTTAAAAATTACAATTAGTAGGGCAACAGGGTTGCTTAATGACAGGTACTCAGAACTGATTTCAAACAGGTGTGACCAAATGACATTTACTTTATATACTAGATGCTGTATGCACAACAAGTACACTATTTCTTTGCGAACTGTGTTTCATATTATGCCATTAACACTCAATCATAATTTCACACAGAGGCAAAAACACCTTTTATAGAACTGACTATTTTCTCTCTACTCATCCCTTTTTCCTTTTAGCTTTCTCTAAGTGTGTGTTTGTGTGTGTGTTCTCTGCTGCACAGAGAACTACAGATGTAAGGGAAAAATTTCCTGAGCAGATGTGAACAATTGCTCCCTCTGTCTCCCTCCTCCACATGAATACATGAATCAGACGTGACCAACAGAGAGATGCCAGAAGGAGACTAGGTTTTGCAGTGAAAAACACAAACCAAAAAATAATTCAGGGAATAGATACACAAAGATCTGTCAGGCTGACACATTGAGTTAAATCAGCCTTGTTTTGTTCCAAACCAGTATTTACTTCTCAAAAGAATCGCTCAGTTCATGCTTGCAGTGCTTAATTTTACAGTACCAATGCTGGCTAACATCACTACTACACAATATGCATATCTAAATATTATTATCAGATGTTAATTGAATGTGCAAAGTTCTGTTTTAGATAAGATGAGTAGTATACTGTATGTTGCATTTTAACTTGTGATAGTCACGTATTAATTGAGAACTCAGTTTGATAGACAACATGATGGTGATATTAGACTGACTGAAGTGGTTATAATATCATATTAATGAAATATCATAATTCTTTACAGTGTGCAGAAATACACTGTATGTAGCCAGCAACATGTAGGTGTCTCAAAAGATATTGGATATATAAAAATAACCACCCTGATGAAGCAGGGTTGGTCATAATGTAATGCACACATTAAGAAGAACAACATTTATTATTTGTATTATTTTTGCTCACATTATGCATGTAAAACATTATAATTACATAAGGAATAAATGTCTCTGAAAGATTCTGCGTCGATGCAGTGACTGAACATAATCGGTACGTTGATTGTTGTTTTTCCCCCCATTGCTGGACAATAAAGTTATAAAGTTACGTTGCAATGTCTCTCGACATCTGGGCCAATTTGGATTTTATGAACTTAATGGAAAGCACAAACTAGGCAAGATGTGTAATATCTGCCTAACAAAAATTGATACAATGAAATTGAGTGACCTCCATCTCTGAGAGAGTTTTTGTGGCACACACAGATACTGGAATTTAAAAGGTGCCACTTTTATATTTGAGAATGTTGTAGTGATAGTGCTTTTTGAAAGCACTTTCTAAATAAAATGGGAGTTTAGATTTATCTGACTGCTTGTATTAATTAATGAAAAGCAGTAATACAGAAACCTGAAGGACACCACATCAGTTACTGCTAACTATACAAAACATCTTGCTACATGCACCTTTTGCATCTGAACGTGTATCACATTAGTTTTACTGGTTACAAAGATTTCTTACAAATGCAGTCAGGCAGCGTCCGCAGGCAGTGATCTTGAACTCTCCATAGAGATCCCTTATAGCTCCGGTGGTGAAAAAGCCTTCCACCAGCAGCAGCACTCCAAACACAAAGAATCCAGCTGCAAGGCCGTAGATGATGTACTGCAGGATGTCAATACTGTGGAGAGAACACAGACATACACTCTCAGTCATTAATGAGTAGGCCGATTTGATAAATATTGTCATGCTGGACTGTATTTTGAAATGTTATTTGTCCTAAGTCCCTCCCCTTCCGGTGGACCACCACTTCATAAAAAAACAAAAATGTATGGTGATCAATGGCAAGAGACAACAAATTTTTTGATTCCGTTTGAATTTTGCTCTGAATTACACATATGATGATGGTTAATTTAAAATATACATTTACAAGTCAAGAAAGTCGCAGTTTGATATAAAACTGTTGAGGTATAAAATACATAATTACAAAACCAAAAGTCGCGTATGGGATGGCGTAACTTTTTCTCACGACTGAAGCTAACATTACTGAAGCTACCGTCAAAGAACTTACATGTGTAGTTGATGTGATAAAAGGACCAGGAGTTGTTAGATTAAACAATCAGGTGAGATATTTTAAGTTAACTAGCTAGCAGCAACCAAGCAATGAACGTTCGCTAGCATTACCGCATTAACATGTTGGTGACGTATATTGTGCGAGACAAAAGATGTAGTTCAATGAACGGTTTTGACAAAAAACTAAATTTTACTTTACTGTTTTATGACAAACTGCAATTTTCTTGACGCACAAAATTATCTTTTAAATTGACAAACATCATATGTGTAATTCAGGGCACAGCTCAAACAGGATCAAAAGTTGTCTCTCGCCATTGACTAGCGTACATATTTTTTCCGAAATAAGGTCCCATGGGCCGGAAGCGGAAGCAAGTGACTTAGGCTCTCTATATATATCTTCAGCTAAATCACCACCAAACAATAAATTGTTTTCAAATCAAATTTGCGATTTGAAAGAACACGATTAGCTAATCGTGAAGACAGCGATTAAAATGCAGGTGTATTTAAACAGTAGCAGTTTAAAATTCATTCCGTTGACTTCCTAGTGTGACAGATCTGCTCGCCAATCAAAAGCGCCATGCGCCTCCTCTTACGGTCCCACTCACCAATCAGAGCGGGCACAGGGCGTGCACATTTTACACCAACAAACGACACTAGAGGAAAACGTGGGATAATTGCACCAGCTGAACTGACAGAGGCAGCGGCTGTATAGCCTACATGTTGTTGATGGGTTGTTAATTTGCAATTTTGTGTGCTTCAACTACGGATGACAGCTCTCTGTGAGCCCGTCTTCGTTCCGTTCTCTGCAGTTACAGTTTACATATTTTGCCTGATTTTGCTTATTTGTTCAGTTGTCCTTGATTTTTATTTGTTTCTACTATGGTTAAGTAGCTACGTAGTTAAATTGTTTCTCTTTTTTTTGTCTGTTTTAACTGTGTTTATTGTTGATGTACGATCAGAAGTCTGCAAAGGGTGTTTTATTTTGAAAATCGACCGGACTTCCTGCCTGGTTCATCTGCTCTGTGCTGCTTGATATGGCTTCCGTCAAAAAAAGACTGGCAGTGAAAATTTTACTTTAGCAAAACTTCAATAAAAAGAAAATCGCAAATCGAATTATAGTCGCAATATCTGGCAGAAAAATCGTTCAGTCCTTGTAATCACCATAAACAAGTCAGAGATAATAAGTTTATGAGTTTTGACAGCAGCCTCACCTTGTTAGCTGAGTTGTATTCGTCCTACAAGGCTGTTTCTGTTTCAGTTAATGATTATGTTTCAACCTGCAGTACATCTTGAATTTATGATCATTGGCACCTGTTTGGTATTTTGTGTAATCTTACACCTGATCATAGTCTAAAAACTCCCTGACTTTGTGCAAGTGTACCTAGAAGAACTGATTCTGTTTCCAAAGTAAAAGGTGGTCACACTAAATGTGATTTAGAATTTTCTTCTGTTCAGTCAATGTGCATTTTGTTAACTGATGTATTACCATGTTTATTTTTGAAAGCCTTCACCTGCCTTAAACCTGCACAGTACTATACCTCTTCTTTTTTGAACTGAAAATAAGATTTACATTTACCCGATTATATTGTTTATTTTAAAGTGCAACATCTTTTCAACAATTTTATTCAACTTCTCTGAATCTGAATATAAACAGAAATTACAAGCTGGGCAGTAGGCTACCGTACATTAGATAGGAAGTACCCAAAAAGCACAGTTAATTGATTAGCTTTTTTAAACATGCATTTTTATCTTGTGGTTAGGTTCAGGGGCTCTGTCTGTAACAGTCCTAGTATGTCTTTTTAAAGCTAAGGCTTCTGCCTTTGTTCTACTATATTTTATACACAAAATTTTCCCTGTCAGGCCATCTGTAGCTTTTAGATTACGGCTTATTGTTTGGATGAACTTGAATTATGAGTGTTGCAAGACCTGAAAGATACTGCAGTTGTGCTCAGTCGGTGAAAGTGATTTTAATGCAATACAAAACTGAACTTAAAAAGAGTCATTTTAAATTTGGCCATATTTGTGACTTGTATGAGCTGTGGCTCAGGAGGTAGAGAGCGGGCTGCCCGTTAATCGGAAGATTGGTGGGTCAATCCTCGCCTCCTCCAGGCTGCATGTCCTTGGGCAAGATACTGAACCCTGAATTGCCCCTGATGGCTGTTCCATCGGTGTGTGAATGGGTTAATCGATGTAGTGTAAAAGCGCTTTGACTGGTTGCATTTAAATCTTGTGTTGTATTTTTATCTATGTGTTTTCACTGAGATTATTTCCTAAATGATTATTGTTATTCTCAAAATGCATTAAAATGCATAGATTTATACTATAGTCTTCCAAATATTCTCAGGGTGTATGCCTCCAAACCTATCTCGCAGGGCTAACAATAAAATACCTATCCCAATCGAAAAGCTCTGCGCTTAACAGAAGAATTTGTCACTTTCGACTGGCAATATGCCCACTAGCTTTAATGCTGCTGTAGTTAAACCTCTATATAAGAAACCAGGGTCTTGAAATCCTCCTTAGTGCTTCTATTACAGGATCTCAGTGCAGCTTTTGATACCATATAAAAAAAATCTATTTGGCTCAGTCTGGCTTGGCTCTCGTGTGGTTAAAGTCCTACCTAACTGACAGAACACAGCGTGGTTCCTATAATAATACTACATCAAACTTTTCTAATGTGAAATATGGAGTACCTCAGTGCTCTGTTCTTGGCCTGCTGCTCTTCTCTCTTTATATTCACCCCCAGTCACATTTTATCCCTGCTTCTAAATTCTGATTCTGAAGAGATGCTGGTCACTGGACCAGCTTGATACAGACAGCTTGATAGGACACCAGTAACTCTTGGCAACAGTGTGATATCCCAAGAATCTTGGTGTTACCTTTTATTGTGCTCTTTCTTCTGATAAACACATTAAAGGGGCCAGACGTCAGCGAGATGGCCTTTTCCCACCTATGGAACATGGCTAAAATATTGCAGATATCCCGATTCACACCTCAAACCATCCAGACTTAAATTTCTGTGACATTTTGCTGTTAAGCTTAGTATGTACTACAGTAGTATATGTTGGTTAAACTTCCTCACTCTGAATGAAAATAAAACCGAGATCATCACGTGTGGACATTTAGACGCACCGGGTGACCCTCTTGGCACTTTGGGCCCCTGAGCCTCCCAAAATCGATCCTCTATTAAAAATCTTGGTGTTATTTTTGACACCTCGTTCACTTTGAATAAGCAAATCAGTGCAGTCGTCAAGACCGGCTTCTTCCAGTTAAGACTTCTAGCTAAAATAAAGATTTTATTACTTGTTTTTAAGGCCTTAAATGGTTTGGCGCCACCTTATCCGGCTGATCAGTCTGAACACTGGGGTCACCAAATCAGCTGCTCTTGGATGTCCCGAGATCAAAGCTAAAAAATAAGAGCGACAGAGCCTTTGCAGTGGGCGCCCCCATCCTTTGGAACAGCCTCCCCGTGCATATTAAAGCTGCACAGACCCTACAAACGTTTAAATCGCTGCTTAAGACGCACCTTTTTCGTTAAACCAGGTTTCTGATGTTTTAAAGTTTTGTTGTTTTGCTTCCCTGTGATTCACTTTGGTTGTAGTAATTTTTACACTTGTTATTTATGTATTTGGCATCAACCCTGTTCAGCACTTTCGTCAACTGTTGCTGTTTTTAAATGTGCTATAGAAATAAAATTGACATTGACATTGCTGATAAAAATATTGTAAACTTTGCGAAAACCAGTGCATCCCTCTGTCCCAGCCAATTATCCACTCCCTCGTCCTCTCCATCCTTTGTTGTGGATGTTGTGGATGTTCATCCTCCAGAGATTCAGTCTCTCCTCTTCTCCCTCTGTCTGAATCTCTCCCTTTCTCTTTGCGAATGATGAGTTTTTTGTGTGATTGTGTGTTCTGTCCTCTTCTAGATTTCATGGTGGTTGGTTGTTTTTCTCCGGTGCTGTACAGTCTTTTCTTTCATTTTAAATCCTGTGCATATACACTAACACCCTGTTTTGAGCCTGAACTGTCATAGAGCTTCTTTAAGTCAAATATTTGAAATGATACTGTACGAAGAATAAATGTTCAGCTTGCTCAGTGGTATATCAAGATGTCATCTTTGAAGTGTTCATGCATGATGTCTGGTTTGTATCACAATCTGTGGGTTACTGTTGCTGAATCAGTTTTTATTTCACTACTGAGACAATAAATGCAGTAACAAAATGCTCTCTATACATTTATGAACTCATTGTTGATTTTCTTAGCACACTGTAACACATTTCCTTGGAACATAGGAATGAGAAACTTGTGGCATGAGTGTAATGTAACGCAACATGCAATTTACAGTTATGGTGCTAAATCCTGAAAACCCACACATATGGTCTTTTTAAGCTTTCTGAGATATTAAGGTAAAATCAAGTCAAGTCTCACATGGTGAACACGTCCAGCGTTTCTCCCGGGGCTCTGATGACTTCAAAGTAGTTCTGGAGGATGGTGACCGTGCCGCTCAAAGCCTCGTGGCCACACCCACAGAACAAGGCCACACCCATGTAAAGGAGAATAGTAGCGATGAGTGAGGCCCATGGCAGACTGCCCACACATCGCTCACAGCACTCCTTACAGCCTAAACACACACAAAAAGACAGAATTTTAATGCTAATAATCGTTAACATTTAGCATGATTATAACAGCAATCAACAGAATGTTTATATGTACTATTCAAAAAGAAAGCTGATGGCGAATATCTTTAAGCAAGTACACACGATGTGTAATGATGATATAAGACACATGTATAAAAACTTCAGCCGCCAGGGGAAATTCAGGGTACAGTGTACCCAAGGACACTTCAACATGCAGCCTGGGGGAACCGGGATTGAACCACCAAGCTTCCGATTAACGGCCAACCCGCTCTACCTCCTGAGCCACAGCCGCCCCAAATCCAACAGATGACAAAAAAGTATGAGTGAAAACCAGATCTAACAGGGTATGACTACCCCAGAGGAAGTAATAAAAGAATCACAGCTCCATTGAGACTGGTAATATGAAAAGTATTATGAAACATTTCCTAACTGCTTCCCAAGGCGTATTCATTAATTAGTGTTATTAAAATAAATTATAATTTAAATTTACTATAGTAATATTAAGACACAAAGCTTGAATCATATTATACAAATACACTTAAGCACCAACTGGTTGGGAACCTACAGTAAAATAATGGTCTCATTTACATTCATTTGCTAATGAGAAGATGATAGTGTGCAGAGGAAAGAGGCTTTCTATCCACTCATTGAGGAAATAGTCCTTTTTGAAAAATATTGATACTATTTCTGGACAGTGATGTTGCTGCAGTAATTTTTCAAAGCTGTGAGCACCACAAACTTTTCAATTATACTTTACATGACAAAACCTATGAGAGAAAGACAATAATATTCTCAGTTACAGAAACATTAGCAGTTTGAATAAAGGAATATCCAAAGTTTGCAAAAGATTTACAATAATGATTATTATTATTATCCATCCATCCATCCATCATCAACCGCTTATCCTGCGTACAGAGTCGCGGGGGGGCTGGAGCCAATCCCAGCTGACATCAGGCGAAAGGCGGGGTCCACCCTGGACAGGCCGCCAGTCCCTTGCAGGGCCACACATAGACGAACAACCACTCACGCTCACACTCACACCTAAGGACAATTTAGAGCCACCAATCAACCTGGGCCGCATGTCTTTGGACGGTGGGAGGAAACCGGAGCACCCGGAGAGAACATGCAAACTCCACACAGAAAGGCCCGCGGCAACCGGGGTTTGAACCCGTGACCTATTATTATCATTATAGTTTTATAGTATTTATATATGAATATCTATAAATAAAAAAGTCTCTATATTAGCCTTAACACACAGTACATGCATGGTCTTCAAAATAAGCAGTCATCCAGCCGCGCCACCTCACTGTGTAGGCAGAGCGGCAGAAAGCGAGAGAAAGATAAAGAGAATCACACACACATCGCTTCCCTCCTTCACCTCCCTTTTGCACAGAAAGGGGTTTATGTGTGTGTGTGTGTGTGTGTGTGTGTGAGTGTGAGTCATTGTGCTGCTCAGGTTTAATTGACCAGCCTTGTTGCCATGCCAACACGGGTGTGGCAGGAGCCTGCTGACCCACTTAGCCTGTTGCGTTGTCATGGCAACAGCGCAGCTCTGCGAGCATTACAGTCACACTAATGCACATTTTCACACACACACACACACAGAAACACTCACACGCAGCATCCATTTGCATAGACACAAAGTCTGTTCTCATTTTTATTATTGTCTTAGTTTGTGGAAACTATCAATGTCCAGTTTCTCAACAAAATATTAGCCACTAACAGAGGAACAAAAATGGCTGCTACGCCCATTAGAAAGGTGCTTTTTTGCACTGACTGACTCCATTTAATAAAACATTGTTGCTAGCATGCTACATGCTATTTTTTGTCCTTTATACACGCATCTGAGTCACATCACTCCACCTCACTAAAGAATAAGATTCAGGTCACATTAATGCGACAACTCTGAGGCAGATGGACAGGCGAAGAGACAAGTGTGATGTTGTGATATAATGTGTTATAAGCATGTGTAAAGGTGTTTTTGAGAGAAGGTTTTTCTGCAGCCTGTTTGTGTCTTTCATTTAAATATTTTCATATCTGCATGTGCATGATCGTGTGGTTGTGTGTCTGACACTCTGTGTCCTGAATGTCAGCCATGTTATAATCCTCGCCATATTTCCCTATTTGGGCTCTGAATGTAGGAAACACCCAGTGACCTGGTAAAAACTGGGGAAGGCTAAACACAAACGGAGTGACGTCTGTGCAATATATGTGTGGCTGTTTCCTTTTCTTTGTTTAGGAAGAGGTTTCCAGACATGATATGACAGTAAGCACCTATTTGCTGTCCCGTTATCCAAAATTGATAAGTTGATCATGTCCATTGTAATGCCTATAAAGTCGGGGTGTGACGAGACACTTAACCCACGAGACAACACGAGATTCGAGATAGGGTTCATGAGATTAAGACGAGAGGAGACGAGATTTTAACACTATTTTTAAGAAATCTTTAATGCTAAATTACATGAAAAATGTCATGCATTAAAGATTTCTTAAAAATAGTGTTAAAATCTCGTCTCGTCTTAATCTTAACAATATATATATATATTTCCTGCATTCTGAAGAATTTTTCTGCACCAGTTGATGGTGATTTTTTTAATGTATAGAGAAACACAATAATCAGATGGCAGGTGACAATTCAAAATCTATAGCACAACAGCATTTAATGCAGTGTAATGGACTTTAATAGCTTTAATAGTTCAAAACTTTCTGCACATTCAGAATATCTCTCACATCTGTGTCATTTGACATGCCCAGAAAAAAGTCATGAAATCACGACACTAACGTCATCATTTGTTGAGAATTCTACCTGCCCTATATAGTCTGTTGTGCATTACGTATCATTGATCTGCTGGTAGTAACGTTATTCCCTTCAGACCATTTACCGACGCAGTTTGGGACTGCATGTTGCATGTTAAACCGAAACTAAGTGACAACACTTGTGATCAGGCAGAAATCTCGCCACAAATCCACAGATGTTAACTTCAGCAACTCTGGTAAAGTTTATGTTGTAAAGCTCTACCATCTAAGTTACCACTCGTCACAGCTGTCTGGACTCACAGCGCGAGCGGGTTCAGTTGATTACTATCAGGGTGTACTCCAGTGTCGCATCAGCTGGGCAGATATGATTAGCTCCCCAAGTTTATCTTATCAGTTATACATTTGGATTTCACCGTGTGAGAAAATTAGCATGTGACTTGACAGCATGTAAAAAATGTCTATTGTGTGAGTCTTGCAAGACAGATTTTTACCTGGCGAGAAATCTTGTCACAGTTTAATCTCACGCTCCTAGTATAGAGAGATGTACACAGTAATATGTAATATGTTTGGTATTGTTTAAAAGACAGCAATTACATACACAATGGTTACTAGATAGCATCCCCCATATGGAAACTCAATATGTTTTACTAAATTGCCCAGTATAAAGTGTTTTTCCAACCCTGATAATCTGGTTTTTCACTACGATGGCCTACAAAATATTTTAAATTTTCTGGCTCCTTTAAAAACCCGCACTGTTTCCTTCACCCATTCTGCCCCATGTTTTACATCAAAACTACGCCAGCTCAAGATAAAAGGTCGTCGCCTGGAACGTCTTTACAAGAAATCTGGACTCAATGTGCACCAAGAAATGTACAAAAACCACATTCTCCACTACAAGGACACTCTTTCTACAGCCAAATCCACCTATTATGCAGGTATAATTAGTTCAGGCGAAGGAAACACCAGAGCCTTGTTCTCCATGGTCAACGACATACCACGACCACCGGACTCTCTGTACTCAGCTGCTTACTGTAACTCTTTAATGTCATTTTTTAATGCCAAAGTACACAAGATTCACAAGCAACTGACTACTAAATCTCTCACAGTCTGTCTTTTTCAGTTCTCCCAACACCTCTATCTCGTTCATTTTCAAGTTTCTCGCTTCCCTCTGTTTCTGAAATATTGGACATTATTAGAAATTCGAAACCAACTACTTGTCAGCTTGACCCTCTTCCTACCGTCTTAATAAAAGACTGCTCACCCTCTCTCTCTTCCCAAATAACTACCATTATACATTCCTCTCTCACCTCTGGTATTGTTCCCTCATCTCTAAAATCAGCTGCAATAACTCCTACACTTAAGAAACCTGGTGCAGACCCCAACAATTTCAACAACTTCTGTCCTATTTCTAACCTACCTTTTCTTTCTAAAATCCTTGAAAAAACAGTTGCATATCAGGTCCATGCACACGTCTGACAATAACCTCTATGAACAATTCCAATCTGGTTTCTGTCCCACAGAAACAGTGCTGGTAAAAATCACCAATGATCTTCTCATGGAAGCTGATTCTGGACTGCTAACTATCTTCATCCTCCTTGATCTGAGTGCAGCCTTTGACAGCATCTCTCATAACCTCCTCCTTGACAGATTAGTCTCTATTGGTTTCACTGACACACCCTTGGACTGGTTTAAATCATATCTCTCTGGCCGCACTCAGTTCATCCAACTCAAACTTTTCAAATCAGAGCTATCCCCTGTCACTACCGGTGTTCCCCAGGGCTCTGTCCTGGGGCCCCTTCTGTTCATCATCTATCTGCTTCCTCTTGGCCATATCTTTCGTAAATTTCCACAACATCCATTTCCACTGCTATGTGGATGTTGCCTGCCTAGTTTTGAGGTTTTAGATTAAAGATACTAGACTGCTGTTAGCCTAAAGGTTGTGCCTGCTTAGCTTTCGGCCTCGGCCTGTGCCACCCACCAACAAGAGCACCTTTGTACAGACCTTCATTTGTTGTGGCAATGTGCCTAACAGCTGGCCTGGTCCACCCTGCTTCGTACTTCTGATTGCTACAGGAATGCTGCCAACTGTGTTACACCCCAGTGCCTTCCTACATTCCGGGCAAGAAGTTTTGGCTTTCCATGCAGGACCTGCTCCTTTGAGTGAAGTCAAGAAAGCTGTGGGCCCATTTCCCATCTCTAAGGTCATCAAAACCGCAGCTGTGAACCT